TGATATACCTAGGAAATACGCACGAATTATTTTAAAGAAAATGAATAGAATAATTTTGGTTAAGAAATAGTTGAGCATTTCTAATTCTCTCACTTATCCTTTTTCTTAGGGGTCGTTTCTATATGTTTTTTTCATAATCGAGCTGTATCGAACAGAAAAATATATTAATATATACGAATAGAATCGTCTAAAATTCTCAAATGGTAATTTAAAAAAATCGATTTTTTAAAATTGAAACGAGTCGAAACGAATTTTAAAAAAAAAATCTATTTTTTTAGAAAATCTACTTTTTAATAAAAACTAAACCAAACCGAAATTGAACTGAATCTAAATCGAATCGAATATAAAATAATAACGGATTAGTATACATTATTAGAGAATCAAAAAAATCGAATCCAACCAAATCCAAACGGAATCAGAACACGATTGGTTAATAAATATATTATTTTAAAAGGGTAATAAATAAATAAAAATGTGGTATAGATCACGGGGAAGAGGTAACTTGGACCATGGATTGGACCGACCACCAGAGAACAAACACACTGCTCAACAAATAAAAAAAAGGTTATAATAATTAAAATTTTCAAGTAAAATGGTTTTTAACAAATAAAAAATGTTATAGTATTTTCTCTAAAATAAATGGATCGTTATTGAAGTGGACACAACAACATCTCACGTGCGTGCCAACAAAATAAAAATGTCAAAATCAAAGCAGTTAATGTTGAGACATTTGCACGATAAACAGGGGCTTAAAGATTTGATCAATTAGCTGTCTCTTAATTACATAATAATAATGCGTTCCATCAAATCCCTAACTGTTAGACAGCTGTTTTTTTTTCGGTATTTGTTATTTTAAAACTCTTTTGGATGCATGTATTTTGTGAGTTTGTATATTTTTTAGAAAAATTGTATATACTTTTATAAAATTTTCTAAACTATAAAATTTTTAAATAAATATCTGAACTTTTTAAAATTTTGACATAAATATCTAAACTTTTGAAAATTTACGAAATGAAACCAAAATTTATTAATAACGTTAAACTTATAACGGAATCCATGGATAATTGATGACTTAGCCGTCAAACGAATATTGTTTCATTTGACAAATTTTTAAAAGTTTGGGTATTTATGTAGAAATTTTGAAAAAAATCAGATATTTATTTAGAAATTTTATAATTTAGATATTTATTTGAAAATTTTATAAAAGTTTAGATATTTATGTACGATTTTTTTGTTTTAATTAGATATTTTTGGAGTTTTAATTTTTTTCTTTGTTTTGAAAAAAAAATATAATCATTTTTTGTAGAAAAAAATTAAAATTTATTAACAACGTTAAACTTATAACGGAATCCATTGATAATTGATGACTTAGCCGTCAAACGAATATTGTTTCATTTGACAAATTTTTAAAAGATTGGGTATTTATATAGAAGTTTTGAAAAACCAGGTATTTATTTAGAAATTTTATAATTTAGATATTTATTTGAAATTTTATAAAAATTTAGATATTACTGATTGGTTTCCAGATAAAATTTGATTACATTTACAGGTAAGGGGAAATTTCTCAAGACATGAACAAACCAGATGTGTTAAATGCTCTCTTCGAACCGTTGAGAACTTCCCAGTCAGCCCAGAGGCTCCTGCTTCATATGGATGCCACTCGTCTGCTGAACACAAGAACCAGAAGCCATCATTATCTGCAATGATAGCATGCGTATGCATCAAAATTCGGGTCATTCATTTCTCTGCCCATCGTCATCGTCATCACCACCCTCGTCTGAATCAGACCTGTAGGTGGTTCTCTCTATCACGTAATCCCCGAGAACCATCGCACCTGGCATCGTTGTTCTGATCGTGCTGATCACATCATCCCGATCACGCTCAAGCTCAAGCCTTCTCCATTTCTGCTCCACCGAGGGGTCCACTTCACGTGGCCTTGCAGACGGATGCACCATTTTCATGTGCTCCCCCAGCTCCTTGAAAGTTCCTATGAAAGAGCAGTTTTCCTGCATGCAGCTCCTCGTTTTCAGATTCAAATAGTCCCGTGCAGGCTGCACAATCGTCCACCCTTTCACCTGGCCCCTGCAGAGTGGGCAGGTGAGGTTCGGGAACTCGGAGTTACTGGTTGGCTGCTCCTGACTGGGTGGCATAACCTTAGCAGATGCCTTCTTGTACTCATCAAGGCAATTGGAATATCTGAAGCTGGTACCACACATATAAGGACGGCAACCCTTGTCGTGAGATGAACAGAGAAGAAGAACAGCATTGTGGGGGCATTCCATACAAACAGAGCATATTACGTCTTCCCAGTCCCTTTTCTGCAAATCTGTTCTTTCCCACAACTCGGATAGCAGATGGGAATTTGTAGGGTCTCAATCTGATGTGCCTAGAAGCAATCCGGCGCCTTGTTCTTCTAACTTTGGCCATTTTCTTTAAAACAAACCTGCACATGTACTGTGTATGATTAGGGAACAAATAAAAACAAGTTGGCGCTGAAGACAACAGACAAAATAAGGTCATGAAAAAACAGCAGATATCCATGTTTGAGGATACAATAATACGACATGCAAATCGTCGTTTGATTTAGGAATAACAAATCAATTGATGTGTCTCAGACACACAAGTCCCGAACAAGAAATCGTAACGGTCATTTCAAGATTTCGATACTTTCACATTTCCTGGGCAAAGGTTCCGAAATGAACGAAGTTTCCGTAAAAGACTGAAACATGCTATAGTTTATGCATATACCAAAAGATTTGCAGGGCAGGAACTCCCTGGAAGTAAATTCATAGTGGAAAAAGAGAACAAAGAAAGCGGGCAAAATTCCAATCAGAACTAAAAAGTAAGCAAAACCGAAAATGCTGGATAAATATGGCAACAAACTGGAAAACAAATCATCGCGGTGTCCGCCCCAACAGTACAATACAACTAGTTTCTTCATCGGCTGAGTTCAAACCTAGGAGCTTCATTGAGAGATTAAAGCCAAAGCCAAGGAGAAGAAACAAAGAACAACCCAATAGTTCTAGAATTAAGAATTGGAAAGCCAATCTACATAGCACAGGACGACTAGATTCCAAGTAACATAATTCCACAGAGATCCAACCTCACCACCACGACTGTTTCATGACCAAAACAAGGATTCTACAATGTCTTAAGAAAGACCGATCCACCTGCTCAAATGAGATCGAAAGTCGATGTACAGACGAAGAACCAACCAGAGAGACCAAGTTGCATCTGATCAAATTACAAATGAAGGAAATTCACATGAAAGTAGAAGATGGAAGACGTGCCAACATGTTTGAAAAACAACCGAAAAGCAACGTGCTTTACCGAACGAATCACGAGAAGAGACAGCGGAACGGGTAATAAAGAAACAGGAAGAAGCCACCATCACGCCAAGAATCTAATCCACATGGAGCAAACCCCCTTTCGGTACACATCTCATATCCACAATGAATCTTTACGAAATGTTCAACTCTTATGTCAGAGACAGCTTAAAAGATTTAGAACACACAGATATAGATATGTATATATATGCTGACATATTCCATTATCAAGCGATTAAACAATTCAACTGATTATCAATACCCAATATTCTACTTTCTTTCACCAGCCCACAATCCAAAATCCCAAAAAAATCAGCCCTCATGATTCATTCGAGTTTCTCGGAAACGAAACAGGGGGCAAACACGATCAAGATTACCATTTACAGGCACAGAATCGGACCAGAAAAGAAATAGAAAGCCTACCCGACGACTACGAAGACAGAAACTGAGACTTCACGGCGAGAAATCGCGGAAGAAAACAGAGAATTATGGATTCCAAAACGGCGAAAGCAAAGGCGCGACGATCGAGATCGAGAGAGAGAGAGGACGAGCGAAATTGGCGTAGAAGCGCCTCCACCAAGTTCCGGATTCGCTGTCTGCGTCGCTTTTTCTTCATGTGGAGTGGCGAATGAACCTCCACGCTTCCCTCGGGTGCGTAACTGCCACGCGCCAAAGTTAAAGTAACTGGCGGTGACCGCCCATGCATCACCCGTAGCTGTTTGACTTTGGAATATTCTTTAAGCATGTACTTACTTTTCCATGGCCACAATGCGTGTGATTTTTTGTCATTAATATACAAATTGGAACTAAAATAAAAAATTGAATAGGTGTAAATTTTTTATACATGCATTCATGAATCGTATGTAAAGAAAATATAAAATAACCATAACCAATATTTAAAAAAAATAAATTTTATTAATAATAATAGAGTTCGTACAAATACAGATAAAAAACCGACATAAAAGAATATTTTTTTAAAAAAAAGTTTAAGTCTCACTAACTGTCCCCATAATATTGTCTTTCAGGTGAATATTTATTTATGCTATAAACAGAGTTTAAGACCATAATAAAAAGATAAAAATAAATAAGGAAAGACAAACTGGATACAACACAAACAAAATATACGAGATATTCTCTTCGATATTCATTTAATTTGAATGGTGATGATTTTGGTACGAGGTGATGTGTTTTTTTGGTAGAGTTTACGAGGTTACGTGTTGTTACGCATATGATGATGATGATTTGTATGAGATGACGTGTTGTTACGCGTATGGTGATGATTTTGATATGAGGTGATGTTGATGCTATTGATGGATTCGACGATGCTAGTGATGGTGGTTCGAATCGATGGTGCTGCTGATATGATGCGATGGTGTTTTTATGAAAATATGAAGCGATGTTGCCGATGCTTATGATAATGATACGGTGTTGTTGCTGTCGACGATGAAGATATGATTTTGATGATGATGATGAGGATGATGATGGTGGTGGTGGTGGTGGTGGTGGTGGTGGTGGTGGTGGTGGTGGTGG